CTTTTCACTCTTATGATCTGATCCCTCATCGGCTTTATGTCCTGGAAGCTTTGCTGGTTGACCAGGCTGTAGACTAGTATGAATCCTTGACCGTTTTTGATGTACAGGTCCCGCATGGACGCAAACTGCTCGGTACCAGCCGTGTCCAGGATCTCCAGCACCGAGGGTGAGGAGTCCACCTCGATCTCCTTGCGATAGAAGTCCTCTATAGTGGGGTCGTACTTCTCAATGAACGTCCCGGTGACGAACTGCACAGTGAGGGCGGATTTCCCGACCCCACCGCTGCCTAGGACCACCACTTTATACTCGCGCATCGTGGATCAAATCAAGTGGTAGGGGGTTCACTCTCCGCGCGTCATTGAAATGAGCTTCAAAATGTTCCCACACGAATCACATTCACCATTCGTGTCCCATTTTGAACGGGTTGTCAATAACACGGTCCTGCTGGCTGCTGCTGCTCAGCTACAGCAGAGCACAAAGAATCGCTGCCCGAAGATGGATTTCATTGTAGAAATTCCCCCATGCAGGCCACTCACTGACAGCTACACGGACATCCGAGCGCTGTAAATGTCCGAGATGTGCACAGAGAAGAAGAAATCACCGCTCGATGAGATGTGGTCCGTTTCATCTGCTTAGCTCACCCCTCTCTGAGCATCATAAAAAAACAAACTTGCTCCATCGAGGACACTGGAAAATCGCTGGGTTAGCCCCTGGAATGAACTGCATACACGATTTCTCAAGCACGGGACAGCCTCAGGATGAAAAGCAAAAAGTCAAACTGATACGACCTTTGTTTTCTTTTTCACCATCTCTCGCATGTCTCGCTCTCTCCCTCGTTCTCCGGTGAAATCCCAGCCGCCATACTCTCGGGTGGAGACCCGCGGCCGCTGCGTAACCAGCTGGTCCCCACTCGGCTCCCGTACCCACCAGGGCAAAAAGAAAAAAAAGGAAAAAGCGTACGAACCCTCCCTCCTACTCTGACGGATTTGCCCGTTGACCAACGACAGCCTGAGCTCTCTCGTGCCTTGAATGGGAGCCTCGCGGAGGGGAGGGAGCCAGTCAGGTTCAGCGATTTACATTTCCGTTCATGTGTTAAAATTCCCATCATTCGGTTGCCCCAGTGACATGCAAAGAGAGCTCGTCCAATCAGAGGAAGGGCTCGAGGATGTGTATCCAGGAGAGGGAAAAAAAAAAGGCACCGGATGCTGTTGCTATGGCAACACTGCATTTTGTTGCTGGCGTCCAAATTTAAGAATGTGGTAGGCTATGAAAGCTGCTTACAACCGTGTAATTCTTTTATTTCAACAAGTGCAGGCAGAAACAAAAAAACAAAAACATGACCTTACATTTTTTATTTTATTTCATCGATTCAGCAAGCATCATTTTAACGGTAATTGCACGTGTAAATTTTTATCCAGGACAAAACTTAAAGAGCAACCACAAATAACATTCAGCAAAATAGACAAAGAAACATCCTGACACACAAAACGTAAAATAATTATAGTAATTATTATATGATAGTAAAATAATAATAAAAAGTAAACAAGGGGTACATTTAAACAATAATAACAACTATTTTTTTAATGAAAAAAAGTAGGCTAATAGTAGGCCTCATAGTAATAGAAGTAGTAGATCAATAATTTTAATACAGACATTCACAGGTCAGCTAGGTAAAACAAAATGCAGTCTTTGAAATCTTAATGACCATACATTAAAAACTGCCTTCTGCACGAGCAGGGGTGAGACAATCTCATTTACAACCTAAGTATAAATAACTGTACAAACATATCCTTCTAAAACACATATTCTTCCACACATAAGCATCACTCTGGAACTGCAGGGAAATGCATCCTAACATAAGAGAAGGAGGACCACAGAGCATTGAATTTGTTTAGAGAACCTTTAGAGTGTGTCCAAACTTACACAACTTAATACAGAGTGAATCCAATTGGCAGAAGATGGTGGAGTGGGATTTCCATATGAGCGATATTAATATTTGGATAGTCTGTCATTGGTCCAATGAGCCCTGTGAATAAGCTTGAACTGAATGAGACTACTGTGTGTCTGGCTCAAGTAGGACAGGAAGGTACCCTTTTGACCACCTTCCCATATTTGATCAGCGATTTCCTCACCCAGCTCTTCCTTCCACACAGATTCAATGCCACTCAGTGAGGTTGTCTGTGAAGAGCACATGTTCCTGTAAGTTATGTTCAAGACAACTTTCAAAGCATGTAGTGAGGTAAGAAACGCATCAAACTGTGTTTCACTGTTTCACTCAGGAAGAACAAGAAATCGAGGGTCTATGCTGCGAACATAACACAGAATTTTTAATTATCTAACAAAGTGATGTCTTAGGAAAACAAAGTTGTCTGCTAATTGCTCAAAAATACAAAATGTGTTATTTATATAAATATCTTACAGCATTTTTATATCCAGATCAGACCATGTTGGGAAATAATTGTCAGTCATATACGGTTGGAATGCCATTTAAAAAGATTAACTTACGGAATTTGTGAGGCGATAACTAGTTTAATTTTGATTAATAAATTAATTCCAAATTTAGCCAAGTGTATTAAATTTGAAATTTCACAACATGTAAATGAGTTAGCCAACGAGCCATCTTTGATTAAATAAATAAGTGATCATTTATTTATATCAAAATATCAAAAAGCAAAGCACGGCTTTATCTTGATGTCTGTTAGTAATATTATGTTTTAGCACCTGGGTAAGAGTTAAGGCATCCACAGGATTGAATCAGATGGCACTGGCATTTTTCAAGTAGTGATCATGTTTGGGTTTATTTTACACACTGTCTGTATGACCTTTAATACAAAGTCAGGAAATAACAATATGCCAGCAGAGTTGAGTGAAATGTATTTTATTTATTAGACAATAAGGTATTCATAATCACTTAACAAATACAAACTCAGGAACAGATCAAAGATAAGGCAAAGTTCACAAAAAGCATGTCATCTCCGTCGTCTGACTGTGGAGAAAGTGCTTCGGTGAAATGTTTCCATCAGTCAGTCAGACCAAACATTCTTACAGTCGACATCTTTATGACTGTGTGATTAAAATCTCAAACAAACTCCATGTGCAGGTGTCACCATCACATTCAAGCTTTTAGTCAGAAGTTGAAACAAACATTCAGTTATATGCCTTTTGTTTGCAGGTAAAATAAATAAGGGGGGATTATTCATATATATTTACAGAAATTACAAGAAAACATTGAATATGATCAAAAATCTGGTTTTTAAACTGTGTAGCTGGAGTCTATTTTCACTGCGGGATGTTAACGTGCAGTAGAAAGAATACAAAAACAAAAGGTTTAAAATATGTTTTGTTATGTGCTGGAACACTTACAGTGTCTCACCATGGCATAATGAGCTCTGACAGAACAACTTGAAGTGTTATTGAGGTGAGAGAAAAACAAATTTATCACCTACAAAAACACAGAAATAATTAATTAACCACTGCAAATCCAGATTGCCTCAGCAACACATCAGCACGGTTAAAGGACAAACTATTGTTAGACTATGATGAGAGTTACCTTAAACGTGGCCTGTACAATGCACTTTTTGTACATAAAAAGCAGTTCTATCTATGGCCTTGCTCATACAAAGGTAGGTTGTCCCTTACAGGTGACAAGGCAGTGACAGGGACCAAATGTGTTTAGCTTCTCTTTGCTCCAAACATTTGATCCCTGGACACGAGACGGCTTTTCATAGGCTAATACAACAGATGGAGGGCCCTTTGAGGAACCCCCAGCAGAGCTAAAGTGAGTTTAATAAATTACATTCATCACAAAATAGTCACAAAAGAGAATACATTTTAAACGTGTGAAACTGCTAGAAGTATACTTATATTTCATCCGATAATGTGTCAAACTTGTCATGAAAACACGTTTGAACAAATGAAAAATGTCTCGGTGGATTGTCTCAGTTAATCACACAAAGTATTAATTAAAAATTTATCATAAACTAAACCAAAGCTCAACTTTACATACATGTGTGATATATGTTTTTAGTATTATTTTTGTTTCTCACCAACACAATACCCACTCCGTCTGCTGTCAGTAAAATAATTTGCATAATTTTGTATCAGCCATACACAACTATCCTACCTGCGTAAATGTGACTTTATTACTACATAATGTGTTGAACTATGCATTCAAACTAGTAAGGAAATATTGTAATACACTACATCTCAAAAGGAAAAGAAAATGGTTACTAAGTCTTATACATTCATAAAAATTCAAATATCAGTGAAAATCAATGATTTCATAAAATCTAAAACAGGTGTACACAATAGCACTCACAACAGTGCAAAATGTTTCTTTAAATGTTATTTTCCCACACAAAGCCTTTGAAATATGCACGGATATCCTCATCCTGACAATTCTTTAGGCACTAGTAACATTCAGAAGAATACAGTACTGACATCTGACTGTAACATTAAGACTAACAGTTTACACATTACACAACCCTTAAAGGGTTCAAAGAACTTCAGTTTGACAATTTGGCCATTTCTATGTTCAAATGTAAGAAAGGGGCTGGTTTCACAAAGACAGTTCAGAGAGGTCTGCAGCCTTCATTTGGCTCTGAAATGTTTGCTTTGTAACAATCAGTGGCTCCTGCTGCCAGTGGCACTAAACGACATAAGAAGAGAAAAACTTCCGAGAAAAAATGTATGGTTTTCTAAAAACATTGGACAAATTACAAGAAAACAAGATTTTGGATTGACAATTTAGCGGACAATTTGAGCCAAATCTCAAATTTGTTAGATGTCTGAAATGTCTGGAAGTTTTATACAACTTAAAACATGTTCACTTCATGTCACTTTTGGCTGAAAGTCTCAGTACATTTCTTTGTAAGTGTCAAGAACCACTGTAACTTTTGCTGCTTTGCTAAAGTGCTCATGATGGATAGGCCGGATCTTTGTAACATAACAATGAGTAAGGTCTTTTTAGCTGCTCTTTTGTAATGTTAACAGACAAAGAGTAAGGTATTTTACCTGCTTTTTGTAAAGTGTCTCGAGATAACACTTGTTATGAGTTGACGCTATACAAATAAAAATGGATTGATTGATTGATTGATTAAGAAGGCAAACATTTGAATGAGAGTACTCTGCCAGATATTATTATAAAAACGCATTACACAGATTTAGTCCTACACCCGACTTTTAGTGTGTACTCACCAAGGGTCAAACTATCTCTGTGAAACCTGCCCCCTAAGTTAAAACCACTTTAAGATACATTATGTCCACCATCATTGTGACTGGTAATCCAAGTATCTATATATCTTTATAATAAAGAGGGGGAAATTTATCTGTTTTTATTTTATCACTGCTTTAAAGAAGAAAACGTCTCTGCAGCAGCTGACTTATACAGCAAACATGCTGTAAATGCAATGCAAAGGCACACCAGGAGGTGGAGCACTGATCCTGTTTTCAGGGGATAAACAACATTTGTGAACTTCCCTCAGAAAACCTCAAAGGAACTTTCATTAGGAATCGTTGTGGTTTTGAAAGTTTACACAAGTGCTTTGCTCTAGTTTGTTTAAAATAATGAATACATGTATGTGGCACTAGATAAACAATCTTTAGGTTACAAAAGTTCTCCTTGTGTACTTTACACATCATTCAAGAAGGAAAAGAAATGCTGCTTAATATTGTAATGACAGGATTTGATTTCTCATCATGAACCCCTTTACACCTGTTAACATGTTGAACAGCTCAGATGAGATCTGTTACGCTCACTCTTCTTCTACTGATAGTTACACTTTTTTAAACTGTTGGCCTTTTCCATATTACTTAGTATAAGAGGGTTACTACTGTATCTGCACTGATTTTTTTCTTTGCTTTTCATTGTTGCATTTGTTCCGAACAGTTTCTTTCTTTTTTTTTTTTTTTTTTCTTTACACGAGGCACCTACAGTATATATGTGAACAGCAGATACATTGTATTTCAGTTCATTGAAGCTTCTTGACACCTTGTCAGATGGCTTAAGGTAATAGAAACAAGGATCTTATGCACATTACTGAAGATGCAAGTGAATGCAGGTGCAAAAGCGCATACATACAATTATCTTGGGGGACACTTCTCTAAAACAGTAAAATCCTAGTATTGGAGCTATGTTACTGATTATGATGATGTAGTCATGTCTACAGGGTTGTTATCAGCATGCAGCGTGTTGTAGCTTGTGTGTGGTGTTAGAGTATTTACAGAGCAGGTGTTTGGGGTCTTTAACAGCAGCAACACAGCACTGACTTCTGCTCCTGGTGGTTACTTGAGGATGATCTGTTTCAGGGGAAGACGACAGTCACTTAGTGGTGGCACACAATGAAATTTTTTTTGCTCCTATGTACTTCATCATGTTGATTAAAAAAAGGAAAAACTAAACAAACACTACAACCCTGTTAACTCTTTATGTTGGTCTTACCCTAAGGTCTAACTCTTAACAAAAAAATCCTCATAATCTATGACTGCAGCCAGAAAAAGAAGATATGCCTGCACACTCACTCAATGCCACAAAAGGGTTAATTCAATTAAGTTACAATGTTTCCACCATCTTCTTCAGGTCATAGTTTATTTTTCTGGCTGCTGTCTTTGAATTTCCCTGCACCTATGTGTGGTGCTTATGACCACCATTCTTTAATAACCTATGACTGCACCATTCAATCAGACTGAAATGTTTTGTACATGTTTAATACATACTTTATATGAACCGGTACTTGGTCATAAATAAACAGGTATGAGTAAACTGGATGCCCCAGTGGACATTTATGGTAAACTATGACATCATTTTTGGGAACAACAGCTGTTGTTAGTCTGAATTAAAACATCATCTGTTTAGATGAAACAAAACATGTGGTACAGATGTTAGTGCTACAATGGGGGAAAAAAGATTATTCTTTTTGAGGTGGACATTTTTTTTACAAGTACCTCCCATCAAAACCATTAACCTGTTAATCTGTGAAGCCCAGACGACTGAGATATAAATTATGTGAATCTCAAAGTGATAGTTAAATGTGACATAAAATTACACTCATGCAAACACATCATGACATCACCACTCCTGAAAGATATCGTATCACAAAGGTTGATGTATGCAAATGACGCCCTGATCATGAGACAGCATCTTTTCAAAGATAATATAATAAAACGAATGCAATCATTATGATCCGGTATTTACTTTGAGTGTTCCCCGTTCCTTTAAGAACACACTTTAAACTGCATGTTATATAATGAAACAGACAATGACATAAATCAAAGCAAAACACATGCAGTAAAGAATAAATGCCACACCACTATTAGCAGATGGAAGGCCTCTAAATGAGTCTGTCATAAAGGAAAAAGGTGAGATGCAGACTACTTGTAATGAAGGTCTACAGGTGGATAAAGCTTAACAAAAGGCAATGCAAGCAGGGCAATGCTACGCTCCCCTGATTCACGGATGAAGCACTTATCAGAGCTCAAGGATTTATGACAGAAAGCTTTAAAAAGGAGCAAACCTGATTGGCTGGTGCTGTTGCTGCGTAGGGGACACTTGTGGCGGGAGTAGTTGCTGCAGAGACAGTAGCAGGCGTAGCACTGTACATCATGGGGACTTTTTTCAGGAAGGGAACCATGAAAGCAATGAAAAGGGAGGTGGAGCATTATGGTAACCATAGCAATGTTTCGCTCTCTCTCTCTTTCTCGCTCTCTCTCTTGCCAAGCAAATACAAAATGACATTAGCAGCAAGCCATCATTGGGTTAGACCAGCAGATGGCATGTGATCACACAGCAAAGCGAGACAGCAGGGGAGAACATAAAAGGAGGGCTGATAAGAGATAAAATTAGGAAATCTGTCCATTATGAGACATCCCAAAAGAGACGGCGTGTACAGCAATCTCTCCAGACAAGTGTTTTTATGAGATATTTCAGGATTTTAGTAATATAGCAATAAGCATTCAACAAATAGAAACAATTTTATCAAAGGGATGCTGATCAAATTTCCTAATATATGGCAATTCTATGTTTATTATACATCTCTAAACCTGAAGTGATGTTTAAGAAAAAGATTATCCCTGCTTTAATTTTAAGAATGTAAACATTAGCAGACTTTGCAATAAAAAGCACACACCACATTTATACAGCACAAACAATATATTTACAGAAGAATACAGTCACATGATCCTTTCAAAGCCTTTGAACAAGAGGGTTAACTGTCATGCTGAGTTCTCCTGGAAAAAGGATGTCTGCATTGATTATGAGATGTGATTATGAGAAACAGAGATAAGACCTACCAAAACTGTTACCAGGAGCCATGCAGAAGACCGACCCTGTGTGATAGAAACAGAGACTTCTTTTATCATGACATTTGTAATGGTTAACATGGGGAAGAGTGTTTGTAAATGTATTGAATACAGTCTGGCTCTAATTTTATTCATTAACTGTAGAAGAACCATTTCATGTCCATCTGGTGCCTCTGACATCTTTACCTTCCATAGCAGGTAAAGCACAGATTTAATCAATAGTATCAATTAGTTCAACTTAAGCGCCCTGTTAAGCCATGCTAAAGCCATCATGCACAAGCTTTGTTAACAGAAGACGTTTTGACATATCACTATGAGAACAGCTAAGGTGGCATGAGTAGCTTCAGTTTCAGGCTTCTGGTATCATATCTTCCTGAGACACTTAAATAAAACAGAGCCATTGCTAATATTATTTGGAACACCTTAGTACTACAGTACGTTAATTCAGACTGTTTTGCATTGCAATTGTTAATGGCAGCCATTATAGATTTGAGTGGTCACATCTGTTTTCTCGCAAATCCAAATATCAAACTCTGACTTTTAAAAGTTTGGGCAGAAACTGACATTATAAATATATAAAAGTCCTTAAGAGAAGAATCAATCTCAGGACAATACAGACTTCTATCGAGTTTTCAAGGCAAGTTAGAAAAAGTATTTATGATACAAATCGCAGAGCACAGAAAGAGAGAATGACAGTGATCAAGTCATTGTGGACTGATGTTTGATCATGAAGCCTGATGTTCCTCTACATTTCTTTGGATAATCAGTGAAATATAAGAACTGCAAAGATCCAGCCCAGGCCATCTTACTGCTAGTGTGTCATCAGTATGCAACAGCCCTAGCCACCAGAGAAGTCATACAAGTGAAAGACCAAACCGCAGCTACTCATCCCTTATCTACCAACATCTATTATGAGAAAACAGACAACATTTCCAAACCGAAAAGTCTTGGAAAAGTTCTGTTTTTGCTCAGAATTACCATCAAACGTAAATACGTACCAGTTGGGTAAAAAGCAGCGGTGGGCTGCTGCAGCTGTGAGTTTGCCAGTGCTTGTTGGTAATGCAGAAAGCTGGGGCTGAGGAGAGAGCCTGCCCAGCTGCTCTTCTCCAGAGCCTGTCTCTTTGGTAGTGGCTGTAACATGCTGTGGGGAAAGGCCTGCAAAGTGACACAAGGAGACATGAATCACCAAAACTTCCCAAATGTACCTTGTTTCTGTTCAGCTAAGTCTTAAATATGTAATATTATTGATTTAAAAACAATGTCACAAAGAATGACAAACATGACTACACAATAGAGGTGAAATAGCACATATTGGAAAACTTAAACATGGTTTAAGGATACAAAAATGAATGGAATAATGTATCAACCAACCAAAAGTTAAAAACATATCTCACAACTTAAGCACTTAAAGATACTGATGGTGACTGTGCACACAAAGACTATATGAGAAGCTTTAAATAACAATGTAAAAAATTAAAAGTTATTACAGTACAATCAATAGCTACAACCAAAGCAAAAGGTGAAAATACCAGGTCTACAGTTGCCTCGAGGGATCGCTTCATTGCTTTGGCAGTCGACTGAGTCTTTTAATAGCAGGCAGCGAGCACATGATGGCAGTGGGCCAATGGGATTCAAGCGTATTAACATACAGGTAACAGCAAGCAGAGGTGCATCATGGGGGACAGCATTGTGGATAGGTGAGAAGGGGAAAACAAAACAAAATAATCTGAATGTAGTTTAACACATACAACACAATAGGCATGCATAGTAACCAAAACAACTGATTAAAAGGACACATCTACTAAAGATTCTTAATTAGTAGGTCGACATGAAGTTAATCAATAGCTTCGACTATTTCATGATTGGAAACACTTCTTTTCACTATTGATATTGCATATTGATCATCAGGACAACTTCACCTGGTTAGAGTGTGTTGATTGTAACTAATGCTAGCATGATGCAATCAGTGCAACTAAGCACATTAAAAACACATTTGGAATACAGACATCGATTTAACGGCTTTCAGGATGGGATGACAATGAGATGCACATAAAAACTGTTAAAGTGAAATGAGAAATGGCTGGGTTTTATGAGAGCTAGCTATAGGCAACATCATAAATAAACATCATAAATAACCATGTATCCATCATTACAAAGCACAGAATGTGGAGCTCACTGACACAAACCATGAGACTAAGACTTTTGGTGCCTCCTCTGCTTGTTTCCTACACACTACTGATTAACTGCTGTTGTTTTTGTTTACTTTAAAAACAAATCTCACAAAAAAGAGGATGTAACTGAAGTTACTATTAAATATATAAAAAATAATTTAGATTTATAGTTTATAATTAGTTTGGCAATGTAAAAAAAAACTAAAAATGAAACAGAGAAATATTTAAGGGTGCAAGAATTTTCTCAAGAAGCAGTAGAAATCATAATGGGGCCATAATGGGAGTCTGTAACTGTCTGCTTTTAGATACTTTTCCATGCAGATTTTTTATTATAAAGTAGAGCCACTACAATAAATGAATGCACTGTTGCACAGACAGTTTAAACACAATTACCGGTACTAAGTGAACTGCAATAAAGCATCAGTTGTCTGTGAAGTGTCTGGCACACGTGCCAATATAGCAAAGGGATATTTTGTTTAATTTAGATGATTAAATTGCAACACATGCTTTGTCTCTCAGTTTGATTGACAGGTTTTTAATTACAACACTAAACCCTATACACCAACTATTATTAATCTAATTTCATCTCATCTCAAATCCTTTTGTGTAGTTTAATCATTATGTCATGACTTTGTTTATTGATGGTGTGTTTATTTGGAAGCATCCACATGCTCTCCATTATCAGAATGAAAAAAGAGCAGATGTTCCATGATTTTAATGGCGGATACTCCTATCTTATGTATGTGTTATTTTAATTCATCACTGAGGCCAAGATCCAGACATGAAGAAGTGTTTGAGAAAACCAGGAAGTTATGACTTCTTATTTAGCCATCTTAATTATTCCCACAATTTGTGAAAGTCCTAAAAAAAGAGTATAGAATGTAAACAAATACAGGCCTGAGAAGGAGGACTCAAGGTGTAGACCACAGAGTCAATCGATTAATCCGTATCAACATTGCTCTTTTTGTTTAGAAGCAGGGGGTCAGACTGCTTTGTGTCAGAAACTATGGTTTCAGAAATCACTAATTTGGCCTTTAAACCTCAGTGTTAACTGAAAATTGAAAAGATGTTAAACTAATCTTACCGCTTAATTTTTTTTTTTTTTTTTAGTTAAACACTCCCAGCCTTAAAACAATGAGCAATAACAATAATCCACATTCAGTGATGACATCAAAAACTTAATTTAAACCAAATACAACCCTATTATCAACAGGAAAACGTGTGTTTTTGTTGTCAAACTGAACTGATGAGGCTGTGTCTTACCATGGCTGCGGCTGCTGCCTGGGCTGCCACGGCTGTGTGACTGACTTGCTGTTGACTGGATTTGATTTTGGCCTGCAAGTGTGCAGGCGGGTGAAAATACTTGCACTTCTCCCTGGAGCAGCGGCTCTTGATGTAGTCCATGCAAACGGTGACAGTGTTGTCGGTGCTGTCAATCATGGGACTGTCACTAGGGTGAGCGAAGCGGCAATCTGTCTCCCCTCGTGCACAGTTTCCCCGCTGAAACTCACGGCACACCTGAGAGGAGCCATTACACAGACAGTGAGAGCATGTAGGCAGATTATACAAACATCAGAGGTGCAAATGTATTTCTTCATGTTTAAATCACTGCTAGTGGTGCCATGAATACCTCCAGTTTGTCTGTGCGCTGCAGCTTCTGTGAGGGAGAAGAGGAAGAGGAAGAAGAGGAGGAGCTCTGCACCGTGATGGGTGGGCTCCCTGACATGAGGACCTGGGTGCTGGGCATGCTGTCTGTGGGGACGAGGCTCATTCCATGGCTCAGAGGTGTCATGTAAGAGCCATAACCAAGAGCTGAGTTTGCGCCAAGTGCCTGTGTAACAGATAATGTTGGCCATTAGAGAAGATTTCATATTTAACAAATGGCAAGCACCATGACACAAAAAGAAGCCACTAAGAGTGAGATATTGAAAATGTTCCATTACTGAAGAAATGACTTCAGACACAGTGTGTTCCTAGCAGAGAATATACATGAGATAGATCTACTCTAAATGAAGCAGTTTATTTTAAAAATGAGTTATTGTTTGATGTTTCAGTGGACAAATCTCATCAGGTGACAGTAGTTTTTCTTCAGCCCAACAAGAGAGTGAGATATGAAAAAACAAACAAAAAACAAACAGGACTGATTGATTTTGGTTTTGATATTTAGATCACTGTGTTAGAAATGATTACGCATTGATTTCACAACATCTGGATCACATGCATAAATCCATCCAACATTCTGAACACTTTAAATAAAACACTCATAGATTAAAAAAGGGTAAAAATATAAATATATAAAACATAATAATATATAATGATAAGAAATAAATACAAATCAATGACCTATGTTTCTGAGGTAGTGGTGATGTACTCTTGTGGCCAAAATATAACTTCAAACACTTGGAAACCTTTACCACACGTAACAAAACCTATGGACAAAACGTGTGTAACACAGCATGTGGCACAGTAATTGTTTAATCTCCATGATCTTGTTTTCTTGATCGTGTGAAGCCAAAGTCGTAATCGAAACTCGCCCTAATCCCACTACAGATTTTCCTTCATGTATATATATTTATTTTCTTTTTGGTTTAAAAGGACTGACAAACTAAATACTCAAAGGAAGCTTTATGGCATTCTTTCCCAGTAAGTATTTTTTTTAATGTTACACATGGTGAACAGTATAGCTTCAAATATTTTACACTATTGCAGTGTTAAAAATATCTATAACATGTATCATCTTATTTGCGAATTAAGGTGAGGAATCCATGACAGAAAGGAAAGTGTCATGGGAACATGTCTACTAATGACTTTTAAAACCTCACCACAGGCTGCAGGCTGGGTCCGGGGATCATGAGCTGCATCTGTTGGGCGAGCACGGCCGCTGCCGTCTTCTGCTGGATGAGATTGTTGCGCCCGTTGATCTCTAACTGTGTTTTCAAGTGTGAAGGTGGATGCAGATACTTGCAGTTTTCTCTTGAGCATCGACCCTGTGTTCAGAACAAATAGAAAAGGCATTAAAAACACTCAAAGATTTTAAAGTGGCAGTCCAGTAAATTCCTCTAAATTAATTATTGAGACTGATGAAGTCAGCTGTGCTCTCCATCACCTCAATCAGCATCACTGTACTTCTCTCATGGCTAAATACCATCTCCTTCATGCTGCAGGTAATACATGTTAGCTTTGGATGAAGACATTGTGCTGTGGTATCATTTAATATAAATGTAACCAACTGCAGGGAGCATGTCAGACATCCATTCACAGCGCTCTCTTTAACTTAACTGTAGCTTTGATGAAAGACTTAAAGGCAACACAAGACGTCCCTGAGCTCGACAGCTGAGTGGATCGAGTATTGATGTGCTTTATATTTCAGTCCGATTATTAAGCTTGAGTCTTACTATCTCCTTTTAGACTTTTAAATGAGCCTAACAACACGATTTGTGTCAATCAATCAAGCGTCTATGTTTGCCTAATGAGAGGTTTGCTTTCTCTGTCCTACATATTCAAATCCCTGATTCAAGTAAACTTAATTCACCTCATTTGCATTTCTCCCAAGAGATTCACTTTAATTATTTTCTCGGAATATCCACGCTTGTTTAACTGTCATTAATGTTTCATTAGTCTGTGTTGTCACTCTTATGGAATGTAGTGCCATAAAAAATCTTCCTCTCACTCTTGTCTCATGTCTCATGATTTATGGTTTTCAAACTTTGCTCTGCTTTCTAGTTGCTTGAAAGCAGAAGATGAAAGTAGGCCTTATGTTTTTTTCTCACTGACTCTTGAAAGACCTGACTTTATTTTGCTTTAATGTTCTTTAAAGAGTATATGTTTTTGGGACTGGAAAGGTTGCCTAACTCGACAGAATTCCAGGTGATATGTGTGACTTACAGGAAAACATGTATCTGAATTTGAACCCCCTGTGCTGCTGAGGTTAACCATCTGCCATTCTGACGGTTGTGAGAGCTAGCCACTATGAAATACTTATGTTAGCTTTATTCGCGTATCAGCCAGAATGCACTAATGAAGGTCATAAGCTGCCATAGTTACAAGCATGTGCACATTCTTTGGTATAATAAAGTTAACTCTGTAAGGAGTAATCTAAGGTAGAGACCTTATTTGTTTGGATCTGAACTGCCTGAGGGAAATTGACAAATCACATGGCAGTTACATTTCATCAGTGAACAAAACAGCTGAGCAGAGGAAAACAACCTTTGGTTTGCAAAGCACGTAAGGGAAAGCAACTTTAGCCGTCCATTTATAAATAAAGGCAGAGGGTGATAAAGAGCTGCTGAGTTAGAAGTAGAAGTTGATTTTATAACAGTATCTACGACAGAAAAAGACATTACATTACAGACAAAAGTCTATTCATACAGAGGAGCTATGACATCATCACATGACTGCAAACCCTGATGTTTTACAAGCTGACCTCTCATTTCATTTTGTCCCTGCAACAGAATGTTTACAAAGTGTAACAGACTTACAGACTTTAATTCTAGTTAGACTGGGTGATGGTTAGAAGAATTACAGTATAGATGGTTTAAGTTGATTGTAAAGCATTTTGAGATCCATTAATAATCTCTAAATTAAACTAGGTGAGGTTAATTAAAATTAAACACTAACTATTGTTGAACAGTTTTGTAGGATAACAATCAAATTACAAACAAAACAAATTACAGACTTGAAGTGCAAATGTAATAAATTCACATCTACAGTTTAAACAATATTCAATTCTTATTATATTGATTTTCATCAATAATAATTGTATTCCTGCATATGTAGGTGGTTTATTTGTTTGTGCATTTTAATCCTGACCCCAAGGGGGAAAACTGAACACCTCAGAGTTTGAACACTTAAATCAAAAACCTGACACCTCCCAGAATGAACATCTGGAATGTCAAAGCACCCCCTCAGCCTAAACCCATTACTTCCTCTTCATCATCATCTTTGAAACAACATTTAAGAGATGTTTCTTTATAGATAAGGAGTAAAAGTCCTTGACCACTGGGGCACAGAGAAGGCCCCTGCATCCGGACAAGAAGCGTATAAGCTGCCTACAGTAAGGAGAAAGGACGATGATTCAACATGTGAATAATCTCAGAGGGCAGAGCTACATTGTGGTGTGATAGTGGATGTGTGAGAGTGGATTAAGGCAGCACTGGTCTCATTCTGGGCGACTGAGCAAACAGCAGAATAAACTGGCTGTGATCCAGTCGGTGGCTAGAAATGTCACAGTCTACATTAGATAAGGGAGGAGAGGAACATCTGGCAGGTATTAAGACTACTTGGTTGGTACGGTGTGGTTTCACCTATGGCTTCATTAACTCTGCAGTTTTACATCATGGAAGACAGCGTTTGAGATGACAGTGTTTTCATTGTACATCAAACAGAGTCACGTTTTATTCGTTGTTGTAATTTTATGAACTTTGAGCGTAATAAGTTTTCATGATTTCCAAACTCACACCCCAACCCACTTCCTGGTCCGCTTGCTAGTTAGCTTGGTGGATCTTTAACTTTATTCAACTTAAATTTATGGGATAAGCCAGCCACTTGTACTTCCATTTTATTGGATTGATCCCGCAGTCCCAGGGGCACTTTGAGCAGTTCAAATATATTTTATAACAAGGACATAAAAAAAGTGAAACCATTCACACAGGAAACAATATAGAAAATTACTTTTTCATGTCATTTTTGTTTCAGTTTCCTCCTCCTAGGACGGCTAGTTTAATTCAAATTTAGTAAAGTAACATAAAGGTGTCACAGATAATACAGGGTGGGCAATATTTCTTACCTTCAGTGAATCAAAGCAGGCTATGACCCTCCCATTCTCAACTTGGCAGCTCTTCGGTGGATGAGCAAATTTGCACTCCTCATCACTACGTGAACAGTTTCCTCGCTGAAACTGTCGGCACACTTCCAGAGTTAGCCATTTTGTGTCTCTTACTGATGCAAGGTTTAACGCCATGTCCAAAGGTTGTTATCATAAATTAGGTCGTAGGTTTTGTAAGTTCAATCTTCTTATGCCTCCAACACCACGATGCTGCAAGTTGGCTCTATATACAAAGTCCGCTGTTAAAACAAGCAGGCGAGTCCTCCATCAGCATAAGCACAAAGATCAAACAGCTGGTCAATCACTGAGAAATCAACCATCAGAAAGCAACGACTGCTGGAAGGACTTTACTGCAAATCACTTCAGTCATACATTCTTAGGTAATTCTCCTCTGTCTGCATACTATGGCTTTATTTCAGAGTTCTTTAGGTCCTGAAGGTGTGCAAAGAGTTAAAAGGCTCGCAGCAGAGGTATCTGGTGTTGGAGCTTGAGTCCAGCCTTACACAAAGCATAGGCCGCCAATGAACACGCAGAGACTGCGAGATGGTGATGTCCCCTCAAAGGCACTTCCTGTTGATGATCTGAAAAACAAAAGCAATGTATATCATTATAACACATACTGTACTCTGTGTTAAAATAAACAACGTCACTATGAGTCTATAGTTGGAACATTTAGAGCAACCATAGGCAGCTTCTCATTCTATTGCTATAATCCTCTGGAGATAGTTAATTCTCTGGAGACAGCAGTTTACAACAGAAAGCAGATTAAGAAAAAAAACAAAAATAAATGTGATGTCATGTAATAAGGCAGGTTATAGTTGGTCATGCTGGACTCTCAAGAAACCAAAAGTTGAAGTACTGTAATTCTCTGAGTATTTTTAACTAAATGTATTTCAGGTTTTTAGTTGCACAAATAAAGTTGTTACCTTGGACTGTAAATTTGAGATGGAAATTATTCGTTACTTTGTGATTTTTTTGTCGACCGAACACTTACATCGATCCACAAATCAGGCGATGGGTTAGAAAAAAAAAGACTTCCACTGGACTCTCAACACCGATGTTAATTACTTAAATGTAAAAACACATGCTTATAAAAGTCTGTTAAGCATAGTATAACATAAAATATATAATTTGTAATTATCCTGATGATTTCTTCTCATCCGTTTTTTTCAGATAAAGCATCCAGCACCTTATAAAAATTCATTCAGAGTAATGTCTCCATCTGGGTCAAACCCACTTTACATTATTTGTATTTCATCAGTGATTTTGTTTTGTTTATTCCACATGAATTACTCATTTTGTGAATGCTCATTAGCTGTTGTGTCATTTAGTCTTAAAGATTAACAGCTGTATGAATTCAGGGCTTATTTTGCTCATGGTAGCATTACATTAAGGTTATCATAGTGACAGCTGAGTTTTAAAAATAATTATTAACAAAGTTTTTTGAATACTATGTCTGCACATCTCACAATATATATTTAGGCCATAGCAGTAAGTAAGCATTTGATTGTCACAGTTGTTGTGCTAGCCTGGGATTTGTCATGGGGGTGTCAACGTAATCAATGGATCAATAACAGTGTTCGAACATTTCCTGAACTCACATTTATAAAACTGTGAGAAGCTTGTTATGTTGAATTTGTAACATATTCAACCTGATCAGTATCCACTATAATACACTGCAAGTTACAACTACCTTTCATTTAAATCACATGTTTCACAAATACAAATTCAGTCCTTTGTCTCTGCCCACTATAACCTACTTTCCATGACGTTGATACTCTATATTTGCTAATACTGTAAAAGGACACATGGTGCACTGTGTGCCCAAAGGCTACAGTCAGATATGCTGACTCTTGCCCAAGCAGAGCACATACAGAATACAAAGAAAGCAAAGACAGCAGAGCTTAAACACACATCGTGTTTAGAGGCAAACACAGGATGGGATAGTCCAACCAGTACACGAAGTGGTTAAACACACAGGAAGTTGCTGAGCAGGCAGGAAAGGAGATCCTCTCATGAGCTGAATTATTTTGTACTAGAAAGTTTTGCCACCGAGAGCAAAAGTAACATGGTCTACAAACATACAGGGAGTGGAAAAACAGAGATTGAGAGTAAACATCATTGTTATTGAACCAGATTTTCTCCAATAACACCCTCACAGCTTTACTGCACTCTATTCCACAGCATACTGCAGCAAATTCCTTTGCACGCAAGTCAGGAAACAGAGCAAGACAACTTACCTCTCTCACTTCATGCAGCACTCAAGAACTTCTGTCCACGACCAGGAATCTGGGTAAGAGATACAACTTTTAGGCAGCTAACTTGTTAAGATAACAATCACAGCAGAAAGATCAAACCCCCCTTTCCTGTCCGTGGATTGAGTGAGTAAAGGTTTTCTCTCAGTAAAAACAGATTGTGTGTCCAACTCCGGCAGACACAAATCCAGCCACCCCCTTCCTGCCTGGGTGCCAGTCTCTGTTTAGACCCTCCCAGTCAGAAATGAGCCAATAGGAAAGCAGAAGCTGATGCACTGTGTGAAAGCTTACTGCACAGCACTGCTGGCAGTTGACCCTGAAGCTATAAAAACTGTTTTATTCCTAACATAATACTGAATTCAACGCTTTACCTTGCCTCTCTTAATTATTGCAACATTTAGCAAGTCTTTACAAAATTATATACTTCTTAAAATATATATATATACGAATATATATACCTTCTGTCCCAATGTGATCATATATTTAACATGAAGCACCTCAAGTTACAGTACAGTATATCAAGAATAAGCTGATGACAGTGCCTTACAGGTAAGTGAGTACATCAAGTATGAATGTCTGAAGCGTCCTTTGCATTATATGAAAGTTGATAATAGGTCTATTATTGTGTAAAACTTCAACACCTAATTATATCAGATTTTCAATTTAGATTGGTTACTTTTTTGGATATTAATTTGAATACTGATATCTGATAACATTAGGGCTAGTGTATAGTAAGTCAGACAAGATGATCATATTTGCAGTGGCACTCACTAATAACTTGAGATGATGCTTGGCATGTTACCAACCCACCATATGAACTATGGTTAAGTGTAATATTTGGTAATACAGTTTTGTAATGTGTCACACCATAATGCCCAAAATTTAGCAGATTGGTATGATAATGTGGTAGTAATTCGGAATAATAAATTTTTTGACAATGCATATATATCTAATTCACTTTGCTGCAAGGTCATAATTCCCTATGATATAAAATCCAGCAGGAACACTAAAAATAGATCAGGAAATGCAGTGCAATTGAGATGGCCATTACAGTAAACAATGACGTCATTACTCGGCTTTCTTTTTGCCAGAGTATTTGAAGTAGTTTCAACTCTCCCACTTTGACAAAAGTTTAAAGTTCAAAACACTTTCAGAATTGTCTTTTAAAGTTAAGCAGAGGGTTTCACCTAGTGTTGCACAGCTTCTATTGTAATATATATTACTGGTCAAAGGCATTTAAAGTGTTCTGGTGAAACACGTTTCCCAGTTAGAGCAGGAGCTAAACGTCCATACCTGACACATGCTGTCTTACTCAGCACAGTAAGAAAAATGAGAAGATGCAAAAAATATTGCACTGCTACTAGACAGTGGTTGCAAAACCAAAATGTAAAGCGTGTGCTAATTTTACTCTGTTTATAGTCAATATTTAAAAGTTAGGATTGTTTGTTAAGGGTTGTTATACCTTTTACGGAAGGGGAAATGAGAATTTTGATGGTCGCGATACTGCATGTCCCGCCCATCATTGCGTTACAGTACGTACATCTATTTTTCTTAACTTTTAAACGAATCAGTTGCACAGCAAACATACCACTAGCACGACCGTCATGTTTCTGACATCTGGCATCGCACTATTTTAATTATACAGTTTGGCTCTTCGAGTTTAGCATGAATAAGTCTCAGATTTGCATTATCATCCTAGCTAGCTAATCACAAACACTCAGCTAGCAGGCTAAAGACACAGCTGTCATGTGTCCAACATAATGAGGAACACTGACATTAACGTAAACATGTATTAGCTTAACGTTAGCCACAGTGTTAGCTGAGGAGAGCACCTTGCTTACCTCATCATCACGGATGAACCGCTTCCCAGAAGATCACGCACAAGCTAGCGCAAACGACACGTCAGTCCACGGTAAGTACCGAAAACAAGATGTAAAGTGTTACCGATATGTCTGTCTAAAAACCAGTTCAAGTCTCGCTCTGCTCGAGGAATTATAGCTTGTTATTTCGTCTTCTTTACCGTCCTCATTTCCTCATCACTTTCAAGCACTGCACAGATTTAAGCAACAAGCTTCTGACAGCTTACTGTACAGTCGTCAGTTTAATGTGATGGGGGTTTCCACGGGTGCGCTGAGAGGTTTATAGACAACAGACAATGGATTTCACAATATTATAAATCAAATAAGGCAATATACTTTTATATGGTAATATGAAATGTATAACAAGGATTTTAGCGATATATTTTTGGCCAAAACAAGTAATTTTGTAACTTGTACCTACTAACATCCCCCTATGACCGCAAAGTGGTACAATCCACACGAATGCCAGTAGGCTAAAAGGGCAAGGGTTTTCTTGTTACCAAGGGAACGGCAATAAAACCATGTGGGTCTTTTTGGATTAGTTTAATAAGAACACACTGTCACTCACAAATATAAACATAATCGTCGAAAAATATAAATATATTTTGATTAGGAATGTGTCAGGTCAAAATTCTGTAAAATAGTCTGAATTTGAAATGGTCTCTGTCCTACAGTGATGTGTATCTAAGGGTTTTGTATGGGCCTCAGAAAAAATAGCATTCTCACACATTCGTAAGAGTTATTTTGAAAAAACCTTTGGCTTGTGCAATCAGAACAAGAAGCAAAGTGTAGCCTAGTCTGATAGGTCTGCTCAAGGTCAAGGAAGATGGATGCTAACCCAGATAACATCAGTAAGGGAGGGTGAGAGGGAGGAAGATGGAGAACAATACGATTTTGCTTGTATGCTTCTGCAATAAGGAAATAAATAACTTATTTTTAGGACAATCATATGAAGACATTGGGTCCTCTGTGGTTGATGAGAGTCTTTGCAAAGTATAATGTCACATTTAAATTGGATAGATAGTTTTGTATCTTATCATTAATATTGCTGCAAAACTGTAATAAAAATATAGGGACAAACTCTTATTTCCAGTAGTTGTTAATTGTTATTAGCCTAAGTGATTTACCATTATTCTTAACTCATCTGAATGCCACAACCTGCAATTAGTGTGGTGCTCCAGCTTTAGTGATGTACAGTACAAAACAATTTCTGTGTACCAAAGATTGGGTTGTTGTTTACCTAGAAATGTTAAGACCATCACAGACAATTTCATACATTTGAATGCCGACAGACGTGTTCTATGAAAAAAAAGATTAATCATTAGTTCAATTTAATTAGTGGATGTTGTGACCTTTGTGTTCAGCAGCTGTCAAATCTTTAACATTGTGTATTACCCTGAGCCCTACAAGTACCATTTTCCATTCAATTGATTCTCATTTAATTATCTAGCCATTGTTGATACTTTTGAAACACAAACACCCATAAACAGACAGACACCAACAGTTTGAACAAATTGATTTGTTTCCCCATCATATTTCTGTTGACTTGTTAAGACAACAGATGATAAATATCTCCGCTGTCAGAGTGACAATTCTCTTCAAACAACAGGAGCTGTGATGTCACTGGGAAAGGTCACCATAGTGCTCCCTTTGAGGAAAATGTCACTGTCAATATGAGTGGGATAAAAGAACTAAGACAATAAATACTCCATATTCTCTTTACCTTTACAATCTTAACACATTTTTTTGTGTAAATTGTATTAGTTCCTTATGTCACAGTGATTTTCTTTTTCCAGAAATCTACTGCCTTTCATGAGTCCTCTGATTTTAAAAAAGAAACCCTGTAAAAGTGTTCCTTTACTACAAATAAAACATGTAAAACTTATTTTCCTAAGGCTAGTCCATTTAAGGTTTAACTCCATCAAGATAAAAACCAATCATTGATATGAACCTTCCACTGTCTTGTATTGTAATGTGTTAATCCAAGAACAGAATTGAAAATAGAAAATAATAAAAATGAATGAAAATGAAAAAGTGAAAATGGAAAGCATTACTGTAGGCCTACATACTGAACAGGCAGCATTTATTTTAAGACAACAGTCCCATCTAGTGGTAAGAAATGTAAAAACAACAATGCAGATTTAACCTAAGTGTTTGAGAACGAGACAGATTTGTTGAGACAGATTGTTTTTTGACTGATTCCATTTATATTCAATATTTATATATAATATATTTGTATTGTAAAACATATATTTATAAATACTGGGTCTGGCTGAAAGGGATTTCTTTATAAAGCCTGTAGAAAAATCTGAGGGGGACAGTAAAAGCTACATGTTCTGGCCTCTAGATGTCAGTCTTTTATTAAAAATAGTTCAAAATTGACAGTTCACTGCTCACTGAGGGTAAAGTGATGACTCCATGCAAAACAGATAGGCCTATTACGTTTTTGTTTTCAATTATTTAATTTAACACTTAAACTTCTGAGTGCTTTCAAACCTTAATCTTATCAAGTGTTCAGCATTTTTTTAAATCAAACACTTCTAAAAGTGACTTTTTTCAAACCTTTTTTTTCATCTTAAAAATAGCTCAACTATCTCTATTTTGCATTTAAATAATGTTGAAGTTAATAATGACATTTATTCCTAATGATTGAAGACCTGTTTTCTTTCTGTGTTCATATGCCGGCATTACACATCAAACTTTTAGCTTTCGATAAAAAAAATCTCAGAAAGCAGAGCCATGTCCTTCAGCAAGGCTGCATGTGTTTTTTCAAGTCATTACAGTTCAGCATCTAGACAACACAGTCATAGCATCTGTGTGGAGATGACTTGCTGCAGCTTGTGGCTGAAATGCTGAGGCAGCCATCCGTACTGAACCTGAGGGGAGGCAGAAGCTTCTGTGTGTCAGAAGATACACAGTGGCAATGTTGTGTGCCAGGCAAGTTACCTCAATAAAAGTTGAGTGAGCTGAGTTTTAATTACAGTAAGGGTACTTTTCTTGCAGTATTGTTGCCCCTGTTAACACCAAATAATTGACATTATAACATTATTCATCTTTTCATTATTTAAGAATGCTTTTCAGGTGCTGTTCAAAAATGTGCCGTATAACAGCATTTAACTTTTGTTTTTCCTTTTTTGTGTGTGCAATTGTCTCCTAGTTTATCATTTGAGTGGAAACTGGCTGAAATGATTGATAACAGGATGCCAGTTTCATAAGAAAAACGCTAAGAGATATAAAAGCACCTACAGACACCTGCTTACCTTGTTACTTCTTTATACCATCATATGAAATGAAATTGCTCGGATGAATGTGCAATCTGTAACCGTGTAGTCTATTTCTGGGTCTGAACATCCATTCTGCATAATTCCCACTTGACCTTTCGCTGAAAACATTTCCATGCAGCAGCCTTCCATCACTTCAGTAATATGATTATCTGCATGCTTCTCTTAATTAGTTGGGAGATGCTAAGTAATTTAGCATTTACATAATGAAGAAAATGTCACTCAATCACTTGCACTTTTGAACATCCCTTTTTGGAAGATATAAGTTATTTCAAACAGCAGCAAAATCATGTTTAATCAGTGTTCTTGTGTCGATGGTTTGTTCCAAGTTTACAAAAGATCTTTGAGAGAGTCTTTCTGCACTGTAAAAAAAAAAAAAAAAGTAGTTGTTATAACTTAAAGAAGTTAGTGTCCAGGCTGCCTTAAAATTTTAAGTTAACTGATCTTAAAAAGATAAGTTGAGATAAATTTGTGATTAATCCAAAAAAATACAATTTTCTAGTCAAATAAACTTGACAACAAGTCAGTTGTACTTAAATATATAAGTTCACAAAACTTTTGACCACAATTCAGTTCCTGTGAAATTATCTTGTTAAGGCAAAATGGTCTATCAATTTATTTTGACTTGAAATCAAAAATACTTAATCAAAACTTCAATCCACGTAAAATATTGAGTTAAATGAATATATATTTCTATTTTAGTCAACTTAAATCAGTTTAGTTTATACATTTTTAGTGATTCTCTTTGCTTTTTTGGAACCTCCAACTTACTTTTAAATAACAATGAAAAAAAGGTATCATCTCTACAGGTTATTCGTTTTATCATAGAAACCAACCAACTTAAGTTTTTCAACCTTTAATAGCAGATCAGATCAAATAGCACATCTAAACATTTACAAATGTTTTTACCTAAAATACTGTGCTGGCTTGTTGGTCCAAACATTTCCACCCATGTGCCAAAAACAGTTTACCATTTATTGCTCACTTTTCTCAGCATGTTCAGTTGCAATAAACTTATAAAATCAATAATTTACACATTTAATGAGGTGATCTTACTGTGGTAAAACAAACACTTCAGAAAAGATCTGAGACCATGTCAAATATTTCTTGGCAGCTTTCAGAAAACTCCCAACCTCAGTGTAGTTCCTACACAGCTTTATGAAGAAGTCTTTTTCTCAGTCCATGGACCCTTGAAGGGGCAGTGGTCACCATGATATTCATTAGGTTCTTCTGTATGACTTTAAATGTATACTGCACTTCTATTTGGTAGTCAATGTAAATGCATACAGCAGACCCATGAGCACAGCTACCATATACAAATAGTCCTTCATGACATGCTGAATGATCTGATCCTCTGATTGAAAGGCTAGGAAAGACTCTTTGGAGGTACTTTGTGATTTCTCTGGTTTTGCTGCAACATATCTGGATGACATTTTCATTTACAGTAACACGTGGCAGGAACACATGGAACACCTGCAAGTTGTGTTGGATTGCCTTCATTCTACCGGGCTGACAGTCAACACATCGAAGTGTGTCTTTTCTGCTGCAGAGACAGAGTACCTGGTCCATGTCATCTGCAATGGGGTTGTATGCCCTCAGGTCAACAAAACCCAGGCCATAGAGTCCTGTCCCCTGCCACAAACAAAGAAGCAGTTCTGTTCCTTTTTGGACTATCCAGCTTCTATCACCGCTTCATACCCCATTTCTCCAACAGGGCAGCTCTACTCACAGATTTGACTAGATCCAGGAGTCCCAATCAGATCCAGTGGACAGAGGAGGCAGTGGCAGCTTTCAATGATATCCAGCAATCACTAAATAAGCAACCTGTTCTGTATAGGCCAAACTTTGATGAACATTTCTTCTGCAAACTGATGCTTCTGACAGAGCTTTGGGAGCTGTGCTGCTCCAGGGACCTCAGGATGATCGCATCCAAACACCTACAACAGCTGGAAACTTTTCCCCAGAGAGGTTTGGTATTCGACGATGGAGAAAGACGCACTGGCTATCATTTTCTATTTTTGGGTAAAATAAAAACCCACCTTTTCTTTAAACTTACTCCTCTGTCTCGTGCCTTACTGCTCGGTCCCTAACAGTCCGCCACCAGGTTAAGAGTGTTCATAAGGCACACTACAAGTGGAGGTCAAGGATTACCACGACGAGGGCTGCAGTACAGCAATGATGTTCAGTCTGGGCCATGAAATCCACTTGGTGTTCGGGGTCAGTGTCTTTTACAGCCTGTAATTATGATACATTGGGTAAAAGTGAGTTACTGTGTTATTACAGCGCTTGAAAAAAAATCACACATTTTCTATATCGCTTCTTCATTAACTAGTCATGTTTAGAAGTAGAATTTGCTAATTTGGCGATGGTAGCTCAGTCTGTAGGGACTTTGGCTGGGGACCGGAGGGTCGTCGGTACCAAAACCGGTGTGGACCTAGTCTGGAAATTGGTCTGGTAGCTGGAGAGGTGCTGTTTCACTTCCTGAGTCTTGCCGCAGTGCGCTTGAGCAAGGCACTGAAACCCCAACTGCTCGGGCACTCTTTCATGTGCAGGCCCTCACTCTAACATCTCTTCATTAGTGCATGTTGTGTGTGTGTGTTTTTCAGCCTATGTGTGTGTAGCATGTCTCAATAATGGAGTGAAAGAGTAATTTCTCCCAGTGGGATTAATAAAGGATTCTTCTTCTTACAATGTTTGTCTATGATAAACATATTCCTCAAATCAACACATGTAAGCCAAATTAATGTGTATGGCAACTATAAGTAACATCACGTTTTGATAAAGGACGAATGTGCAACATTTTACACATAAATACAACAGAAATCAAGTTTATCCTGTGTAATTGTGTCTCTGAGTCATGACTGTCTACAATGAGTGAGAAGCTGTCAGAGCCGTGTTTACATCATGTTTACATGGACGGGACGGCCTTGCGTATAAAACAGTTTTAGTCAAGGACGAGAGAAAAGAAGAATAACATACTCACTGATTATTTGGATGTCACGTAAGTGTGTTTAACTCACGGTCATTCTGTGTCAATTTATGTTCAATGTGAAGCTATGTGTTAACCGAGTGTGCTAACATTAGCATGCTAACAACATTGCAGGACACAGGTTATTGCAGCTCCAGCAAAGGACAATTTTGTCCATCACTTTCTCTAAATGGTGTTTGATTATGATCGTTGTAATTGATAACTCCTTTGTGTAAACGCGAGTGGAGAGGGGTTGGAGGTGTACTGCTGGAGGAGAGAGGAGGGTTCAGAATAGAGGAGGTGTGGCCAAACAGCAGTTTGTTTTGGTTTAATGCTGGTGCTCAAGGGGGTGACATCTACTGGATCTAAAAGTCACACATTCTTCCTTAAATTATGATTAATGAATTTAAATGTATGCTTTTAAGTAAAATCTTTCTTGGAAATGTTGGAGAGACTGAAAACCATCCTGTATGTCTCGATGTAGACTTTTATAACACTAATCTAATAACACCAAGAATTCCAATGTACCTGTACTGTCCTGTACCTGTGCAAATGGCAATAAACATATATTCTATTCTAATCTCTTCACAGGGTGATAAAGAAAATGTTCTGACTCACTGGATGGTGGACCCTCATCAGGCCAAGATCTGCTCGCTCACTCTATCAGCGATGGCTTAATTCCAGGTACGCTCTTGTTTACAAGTTCAGTATATACATGAAAAATGCCCTTTCAACTCCTGAACATTTATTATCTTATTTACATTTAGAAACAAAAAGTGAAACATGGGCTCATGTTTTTGGACAGTAACTCACAGTATTGTGTTATCAAACCTTAAAAGCAAAGGAGGCCAAGTATTTGCTGTTCAGGCTCCACAGCTATGGAACGACCTTCCTGAGGATCTCAGACTTGCAACATCAGTATCTTCTTTTAAATCCCCTTGAAATACTTATTTTTATCAAAAGGCCTTCTTGTTATTTTATGGTGATGTTTTATTTTATTTGTTATAAAAGCACTTTCATCAGCACTTGCTTTATTTTATATTTTACTCTCTATAACCATTTGCACATATGCACAAACAAGACGATTGTCAGGTATTTCTACAAACACTTTTAAAGAACTGTGCTATGTGATTTTCACGAGGCTGTTCTGAACTCAACATAAAGCTTTATGATTTTTCAGATCAACTCACTGCAAATACGATTCCTGCCCTTGATGACTGTTTGTTACTCTGTGGATGTGTCTTCAGTCTCCTGTCTCGTCCAGACAAAAATAAACATGGTAAACAATCAACACTTATTACAGTGGTAAATGGATCTTGCATGCATTAAATGTAAAGATTTCTGCACAGTAACATATTTTAGTCCTTCAGATTTCGCACACCAAGACGCCATAGTGCCAACATTCTCTTCCTCAGTTGGCTCGAAACATCACTTAATACATCCTTTGAACAGGAGCTTCTTGTTGTGCAGATCTTGTTTTTACTTTCCTTACCTGCTCAATAACTACTAAAGAATGTGATAAAAGTTTTAACATATCTAAGTGGTCTTTGTTTTTTTTTTTGTTTCTCAACAATAGTTGAAGAGAGCCTATTTCTTCTGTCATCGCCAGTTGCTTCACAGAGGCTCTACCCGAGAACAGGTACTTACATTTATTTGGATGCATTTCTCTGTTTCTTCCATTTTGTAAAATATTGTTATTAATATTTTGTGTTCACACTATATTATAAAATTTCCATTGTTTCACAAATGCTCATCTCTCTCCAGATGCAATCATAAAACATTTAAATCCATCCCTGGGCCGTCTGTGAGCACTTCTGCTCCCTGCACTGTTTGATATTGTTTGTTCTGTAACAATAGTTATTTTTATTTATTTATAAGAAATATAAGGGGTTATTACCATTTTATTCATGTTTGTTCAGAAGTATTTTTTTATTTTAAAATAAAGATATTATTTTAATTATAAAGATTTTTTCCAGTTTTCTTTAAGTCTATGACTATTGTCTTTGGTGGTCAAACTGTTTGAAACATAAGGGGCAACGGCTGAAATCATGCCTAGGGCACCAAAATGGTTAGGACCGGCTCTGTGTCTATAACTTAAAGGTCAAATATTATGCAAAATACACTTTACCATGATTTTCTTACTCTAATATGTGTCCCTAGTCTGTCTACAAACCCCCAGTTATTAGAAAAGTAAGTCCTCTTCTTTTGCCTGCTCCACAGGGGTAACTGCAGCTAGGTGTTTGTTCTGCCCTCCGAGTCGGCCTTCTCACAGTAAAAAATTGGGTATGGAGCGAAAAGTCACAGTCAGCTGCTGGAGCTGCACAAGAAATATGACTGCAGACTTTCACTTTCAGTCTTTGAAAAGGTGTGTCTTTTATGAAATACCCATTTTACCATTATACAAGTGAACGACGGAGGATTAGGGCCATGTAAAAAAAATAATTTAGGTAAATTTAGGAGAATAAAGTTGTACATTTACGAGAAACTTTTTTTTTAACCTGGCCCTAATCCTCCGTCGTACAAGTGTATAAGATTCAAACAAATATCTGAAAATTCACAGCAAGAAAACAAGGGCTAAAATATTGATAAAATAAAAAGAAACATATTTGGTACCACTGTTATATTAAGTTTTATTTTAAGAAAGATAATGCTTTGTGGTGGTGTATCCATGAATTAAACTGAATTGGAAGATATCTTTACTGCCTCGTCCGTCTTATACGTTTATCACTGATGTTTTTCCGACTGCATTTTAAACTGGTTTTGGAGGTAATCATTCTAATTGAACTGACTTTGACAGGGAAGTGTATGGAGTGTGGAGTTTTTCATGCTGGACAAAGAGCTGGTTCCAAAGCTGATTGCTGCCACAGTGGAGAGCAGTATCCTGCTTTGTGACGAGCTTCTTCTTCAGTATATCAAGGTAAAACAACACCACTGCTGGAACATTAACCCTTGTGCCCTCCTCAAATGTATATATATTTTTCTGCTGTGAAGGTAAACAACTTCCGACTTGCTCAAAACTACCAAACATTAAATAATTTTCAGGATTGTAACCCTTTAAATGCAAGGTTATTAGTTGAATGGTGATTAGAGTCTTTGAAATGTGAAAGACTAACAACAAAGTTGATTTGATTGCATTAGTCTTTTTTATGTATATCCTCTGGACACCTTCATGGCCAAAATGTACACACTGCAATAAAATCAACAATATTTGCTTTTGTATTTTGCTGTTAATTTCTGCTCTTTTTACGGCTTTTGACGGTAGAAAAGAGGGAAAGCGGGAAAGAGGGAAGTAGGGAAGTCTCACGTGAGTTCCTCCATCCCCCCGGTCTCAGGGAGGCTGCTGAGAGACAGGGTACTTGTTATCATGACTTTTTGTTTTTACAGTGTGTGTGAGCTGCAGTATGTAAAGTGTGTATGTAATGTCAGGTTCTGCGATAGACTGGCATCTTCCTCCTCCTCTTTTCCCATTGCATGATGGGACTTTGTAAAAAGCCTCCTACATCCTGAAAAGTGTCTACTTGGAGCATATGGATGTACGGATGAATGAATGGATGAATGAATGGGCACCAATCACTGAATGGACACCAAATCAAAATGATAATTTATGTACATTCAGTTTCAAGTAAAACAGCCTTCACAAGATCCCGACTGATAACATAAGAGCAACACCGCTGATAATGCTATAGCCATTCAATGCAGTTATTTTTTTACAAATCCACTCATTAGTCAAGTCTGACAAGAAATTCAGATTATATACAACAAGCCATATACATGAACATGAACATAGAAATAATTACACTAGAAAGGTTTCTTCTGCATTCACTGAACTGTCTGTACTGGTATGATCAATCAAGCAAAGACATTCTCCAGCATACATATTCTAATAAAGAAACAAATACAGATAAATCCACTTCTTAAAGATATGCAGTTTGATATCCTGTCAGTTAATTAAAACTATCCTGTTAAAAAACAAACAGCATGTCCACCTCTCCTGGGAATGGCAGCTAATTTAAGACTGAAATCTTTATTTTTCCTTCTGTGCCCACCATTTTTCAATTATCAAGATGAGAGAAAAAGACTTTAGATTATCATTTGAAGATAAACAAATAAAACAATATAATAATGTACTTGTGTTATTTATAATCATTGTTGAACTGTCATATTTTCTTTGGGGCTGACATTGTCACAAGAAATAAAAAACCTCTGACCTCTGTAAGGGCTTTGTTGATGAACATACCTTGGATATAAATGTGCATTCTACAGCTTAATCATTGTTTGAAGGCAATGACAGCACAGTAAATTATTGATTTCATTGATGGGAATGCTACAAAGCAACACAGCTTCATTCAAACTCAAGAAGTGTTTAGCTTTTGAAAAATTTACTGTTTATGTCTTTCATAGTTTGCAAAATATTTAACACTTTGGGGAATCTTCCCCCATTCAAAAACCAAATGGACAGAATGTTTAGAGTGGTGTGACATCCCACAGTTAAGCTGTTAAAGTTTGCTATCTTGGTGGCCTGGTGGTTGCAGTCTTCGGGGCGGGCAGCCCTGGTTCAGGTCCAACCCGTGGCTCCTTCACCGCATCCCGTTCCCCACTCTCTCTCACCTGACTTCCAGCTCTGTCCAATGTCCTGCCTCTATAGTAGGGGCATAAAAAAATCCCCCCAAAAAAATCTTTAAAAAGGGAAACGGGAAAAGGGAAAAGGGTACTTTTCAATTGAAAAAGAAGCAAAACTTTAACATTTTCCATTAAAATGAATCACTCGATTGTCTCAGTCACTCCAATATTGACTGGGTTAACAACTTTGTAGTAAAAAAGATGGACAACATGACTTCTACCTAAAAGTTAAGCCAAAACATAAGGAGCTCTCCCTCATCAGCTTCACCTCCTCCATATTAACAGAGGGGTCATGGGTCAAACTATAAAATCAAATTGACATGAATTAAATTCAGTCAGTAGCCTATAGGTTGTTCTTATCATGCTGATTCATGCCGGAGTGTTCACTTTTCTAAGAAGTTGGTTCTTAAATGCTACAAAAAAAAAAGGGATTAAATGCCATGATTAACAGCTCTGGTGACAAATACGGAGGAGGAATGGTGGGAGGAAGCATAACAAGGACCAACACAAGAATGATTGAACTTTCCATAACCATGAGTATCTGCTTCAAACTGACACAAGAATCTTTTCTTGGCTTCACTTTTGTATAACAGGAGGAGGTGTAGATGTGTTGTCTATCTTTATATACAGTCATTGGTAGCAAAAGTAGCAAAAGCAAAACAGAAAAAGGGACTCTTTCTAACATGCTCAACCCTTTTTTTACCTTAAAAACACAATTTTACATCGGTGTGTTCATCACAATCCACTCTCATGATGTCAAATTCTTGGCTGGAGAAGATTTGCTCTTCATGCAATAAGAGAGAGTTTAAGTGGTGCCCTCAGATTAATCTCTGTTAAATTAAATGTCTGACCCAGTAGTTGCTTGGCAGTTATTGTCACCATGGAAACCTCTAATCGCAGATGGGGGCACACAGGTGGTTGAGTTTTGATGATCAGACTGCTTTTAAGTCCCAGTAAACAAAGGTGGTATTTACAATGTAACAGTGTAAAACCGTCAACTGTAACTGCAATTTTAACTTCATTCTCTGCTCCCCGCCTCACCTGTCTGCATCTCACTGAAGGCTTTAAGGCAGCAGAAACAGGTGCAAGTAATAACACAGCTATATGATCAATAAACACACAGACACTCACACACTAACAACTGGATTTGTCCTGGTACACAGCGGCTCATCCCAGTGCTTACAGGGCTTAGTCTTCAGCTGTTTTTACCTGTATTTCAACTAAGACACTGGAATAACACCCCCGACTCAGTCCCTGCACACTAAAACTCATCTAAATCCTTACAAGAAAACTCTCTTTCCAACACCCTTCATTGCTTTATTTTGCACAACCGTTACAGCTCAGAGGTGGCCTTTAGCAGCAAACAAACCCATCACAACATTTCCAGAAATTGCATTCTCTGGTTTACAATCATCAAAAGGTAACGCACACGCACACATGTGTATACATTACATCCCATTGAAAACAGTGTTTCATAAAGCTGTATCTTCTTCTTGCAGTGCTCATACCATCTGTCACAAGGAAACACATTCCTGCAGCCTGTCACACAGCACAGAAGTATGTAATACATAAATAAATAGATAAATATCCGTTAAACAATTGCCAGTCTGATAGCTCTGTACTCTGTGATTAAAAAAGTGGGCCTACTCACATATTCAGTTTGTGTACTTAGACCTATACGGACAGGTGCTTCTAACCCCATTTACAGTGATAGTCACACTACCAGAAATCTGAAACCGAAGCTGCTAAATGGAATTCAACTATCATAATTTTTGTTATTGACACCAACAATTTTAATTGGGACGTCAAATTTGCTCAAATAATCAAAAGAGACGCAGTTGATAGAGCCCAATATTCAGAGACACACTGATCAAAGGCTTGACTACGACCTGCGACCATTTAGTGCATGTCATCTTCAACTCGTTCTTCCCCACATTTCCTGTCTCTCTTTAGATGTCCTATATAACCAAACCTAAGGCAAAAAAAAAAGAAAACAAAAACAAAATGATCAACAAGAATGGCTAACTTTAACTGTCAAATAAACATGGTGGAGTTTAAATTGCCTTTAAAATGTGTAAAGAAGCATGAGCTTAAAAAAAAGGTAATGCTGACTTTAATCAATTTTGGTACAAAATGTATCCAGAATGCCCTTTTATCCATTACTGAAATAAAGTGAGATTGTGCTGTTGTTAAGCTTCTACACCAGACCTTATAAATGGCAGCCACCCTTTAACTATTTAATATGACACAGAATATTTGTTTAATTAAAAAAAGGTCTAACCTAACCTAACAGGCTTTTTAAACAGAAGCAACATTTCAGGTAAACTGAATTAAATATGTTAAATGGAACATAATATCTGCATAAACAACAACCAACCTTTCTATTAAAATGAGAAAGGTGCTTTGTTAACACGTTTCGATTCCTACCATTAAAGGTTCCATCTAGGAAAATCAATGGCTGGCCTTTTGGCACTTCACCTTTTTCCAATTTGGGTCATTGATAAAAGTAATAAGGTCTGTGCTCCCTCTCTCTCAGGTCTGTATTAAACTAAACTTTACTATAATTAGTGAACATTAAGAGCGTGAAACACATCAGGTGTTATTAATACCCTACAGATGTAATGTCTGTTAGAGCATCCACAGCTAAATCCAATCCAATAAATGAGCTTGATGAACCACTCAAACAAGGTGAGACAGGTGATCCTTAAACAAATGTTTCAAAGGTCTGACTTCTGATGTATTTTTTGACAGTTAAAATAGCAGCAGCCATAACACTTCAGTGTTGACATTTAGTGAACACTTAATTAGATAAGATGGGAAGTTTGAGTGAAAATGAGATAAGAGGCATAAAAAGCATCACTGAAGCCTATTCAGCCAGATAAAAACAAGCCCTCTTTCATCTCCATGTATTGCCGCAACTGATTGGATTTGAAGGGACTGGAAACCATGTGGCAAAAGCAATGACATGTTTTTATATCCTTGTCTCTCTGCTTTGAGGCTGCTGGTCTTTGTAGGCCTGGCGCTCTGCTGGCTTTAGAGCGCTCTCACTGCCCCACAGTGCACTTTGCCGTCAGCTCTACAAACATGTAAAAGCAGCCAGTGTGACGGGGAGGGGGGGGCATGAGGACTGAATGCTGATCGCCTCATTCACAGTCAGGCCACACTGACACATTTCATCACCCCAACTATTAAGCAACCTTTTATCTCTGCAACACACCACTCCAAAAAATGAATTCTTGCAACAGAGTAATTGTTGCCGTTTTTGGTATAATAATAAAACACACAGTTCTACAAGAAGCACGCGGAATCCAAGTTATCTTTTTGAATGTGAACTGATTTTGTGTACATAATACAATATTTGGAAAATCTGGACTGTACTGCGTTTGAGAAAATAACGTTTATTGGACTTTTACCAAATTAAGAGCATCAGATTATCTTTCAGAACTTGATTTAAAACATGTTTACTGCATGCATACAACATGATCTAACAGAGAGCTTTTTGAAAATAAATTACAATAAATACATTGTGTTTTTTTTTATTATTAGCTTTGGCTTACAGAACTGTATATGCTTTAGAAATCTGCCCAAATGTCAGTATATAGTGGATGTGCGACATGCAACCTTCAGTTCTTTTACAACTACATCTTTGAAACAAAGACAATGACTTTAATGACATTCAGAAAACTTGCAGAGAATGTCAAAATTCAAGCAATGCAGTCTATGGCAGCTGTGTTGAACTGTTTAGTCCTCATCTCAGTGTAACTGTCTGTATGCTCAACATGAAATGTAAAAAAAAGAAAGATGAAATGACAAACAATTCAGTTTTTAAAAATTTAAGACACCGAGAGGCAGTCCAAGGCAGAGCTGCTGTGAGACCCACAGACTTGGCAGTTTTCATGAGGAAACAGCAGAGCACTCGGATCACACTGAAGCTGAGAGACGGACAGATGCAGGAGACGGATTTACAGTGAGACTAAAAGAGAGAGAGTCAAGTGAAATGTTCAAATCAGTCGGTGAGGAATCTCTCTAACTGCTCTCTCTGAGCCTCACCAGCGGGCCACCTGGCTCGTGTAGTCCTCAGTGGTGGTGGGAAAGTCCCCCTCCTTCTCAAAGCCTCCTTCCCTCCTCCCTCCTCTGTTCCCTCCCCCTTTGTGTTTAGGAGACCTGTTTTGCTCTTTTTGCTCCCGCAGCCAGCGCCTCTCCTCCCGCCTCTTCAAGCGCACCTCCTGGTGCTCCCTCTGGCGGCTGTACTGGAATCGCTGGAGGAACAGGTCCTTGGCATACTCGTACAGCTGCACATCCAGGAAGTTGAGTTCCTCGATGCGTCTGCGCACCTGTTCGCTTAAATCCACGTTGGCGGCTCGCGTGCTGTTGATCTGCGTGAAGGCGGCGATGAAGCGCAGGCTGAACGTCCGCTCAAACAGGTATTGCGTCTTGCGTTGGAACTCGGTGAGGCCGTAGAAGGCCATGTTCTTCAGGTTGCTCATGGCGCTGCTCAGGAGGATGTGATCACGTTGACTCTCGTTCATGGAGGACAGGTTGTAGCAGCCGACCAGACTCAGGTCGGCCAGCATGCGCACCTGCCGGTTGTTGGCCAGGTTGGACGGGCAGTTCATGAAGTCGTTCAGGGTGACACCGGACCAGTCGTCTCCGTTGTAGCAGTTGGGCAGCTCGTCCTGGGTGGGCGATCGTCCGTCACACATATGGAGGGCGGTCTTCCATGTGGCTCCACGCTGGACGTGTTTCCACTCGCTCAGGTAGCGGGAGACCGGGTCACGCAGCATGGTGATGTAGTAAAAGTTCCTGCAGCCAAAACAAACACAGTGAGAGAGCTGTGAGCACATCTATCATCATCATCACAGAGGGCTTCACTGTGCTGTGCTGACAGATGGTGACTTCTGTCTGTGTGTGAAACCTCAAGGTTGAATGCTAATGGGAGAACTCAGAGTCTCACTAATGATATTATTATAACGTTCACTAACTTGCCCTTGACAATCAAACCCTAGCGGGTGAGTAATCATTTTACAAAATGGAGCCATGGAAGTTTTCCACAGTCCACAGGCTTCTTCCCACCTGCCAACAGTGAGAATAATTGGGAGTCAAGTCATAATGCTAACCTACAGACATACATTAAGTGAGTCAAATTGACCCAACCAAATCCTAAATATGTCACTCTAACAAAATAATGAGATTCCAGTTTCGGAATATATCAAATCTGTTGCACTTTTAAGTGGGTATCTTACCCATCATTTGTCATTCATTCACAGCAGGGCAGAAAACAATTCAACTGTTATTTTGATGAGGTGAGGGTTACTCTTCTTTTACACCAACAATTTCTGTTTCCACATCACATACAGAAGCTTTTTTAAATAAAAAAATAAGCAATAGAGTGGCATCATGTATAAATGGTTAATTGTTAAAGGATTTAAAAAGATGTGTCTTCATCATATAAGTTAAATAGACTAACAAAAGAGACTAAATCAAAATGTCACAAAACCTGCTCCAGCCTTTTTCAACACAGCCCCAAAAAATTAATTTGAACTTAAGTCCCGCCTCTAAACACGTAGATAGCAACTTGGGTGGCCAATCGGTTTTCAGGGGGCCCATGACAGCCCACCTAATAACCTGGAGACACCCCTAGATGGAAAAAGAACTGGGAAGCTTCATGTAGATCAATCTGTTTTTTGGCAGTTTAAACACTGAAACAGTGGAGTCTGATAAAGCCCTTTGGTAATGAAAGCAAACCAGACAGATTCTAGTCTAAAATTAAAATGTTTTCTCTGAGAGTGACAGACTACACACAGGAGATTAAATCTGCCCTTCATGCAAAGGTTGTCGACCTCTGAGGAGAAGCACTCTGCTGAGCAGCAGATATGTCAAAGAGCATTCTGATGGAAAACAAAGATTGGACAGGTGTTGGTCAGGTAAACCTCTTTGAAGGTGATGTCCTGAGAGTTTTTCATGTGAATATTTAATGATGATGTGTTTTCATCTCAAGAGACAACAGTCGGGATGGCAGAAGTGGAGTGCGGCGCTGAGATTTCACACTGGCTCCAAAGCAGCTCTTGGTGCTGCTTCAGTTCTTTCAGCACCAAAAAGAAAATGTTCACACAGTCTCACCCAGGAGCGGAAAGAAGAAGAGCTGCAAAAACACATTCCTTGCTACATTTTTTTTGTCCTTCAGGTTTGGATTGAATGCCCATGAAAATGGTTCAGAAATTGTATTTGCAATGGAATATTTTGCAGCATGAAAGTGTTTTTTTTCTCTCTTTTTTTGCAGGAGAATACATTTTTTGTTTGGGTTTGCTTTTGATTTTGAACAACAACTTGTTCCATTTATGTCCTAACAATCCTGTTACATCAGCTAACACTAACACTGCGATTACATCACAGGCTTTATCAGAGTCTGCTCCAATATCACTACAAGGATGGAGGGGCTGAAACAGAGACTCTACTGAAGTTTAAAGAAGTCAATGAATTTATCATTTGAATTTTCATGTTAATCAAGAACTCTGAACTCTACAATAGTGTCTACATTGATATTTGTACGTGCTGTATTAAGTATTGTAATGAGAATTTTAATTTAAAATGCTTCATAACCAAGCAGCAACCTCAGTTGTTGAAAAATGAAGCCAATTTGGAAGTGCAAAAAACTGCAGTTCCTGGACTGTCCACTTGAGGCTGACTGCAAGACACATAGACATCCCATTCAAAAATGTCAGTTCTTACAGCAATGTTTCCAGCCTGGTACAAAAAAAGATTTTGGTCTGATAATTATTGTCTTCATGGACACACACACACACACACACACACACACACACACACACACACACACACACACACACACGGGCAGGCGAGAAGAGTTGTTTGTCAAGAGGCTTAAAACTGGCCTCAGCTCCAGCTCTTAGCCCGATAACCTAAAATTGGTACAATCTAAGCTAAACATTATGTCTATAAAGCACAATTATTCATACGTAACAGCACTGGCAAGATTTGAATATTTTTTCGTCAAAAATTTAGAAAATAGAATATGGAACCATGAAAAATTGGGTCTTAATAATCCACAGGTTAGACTACTGAATACATGTATTTTCTGTAGAAAATTCTATTTTTTATTGTAAGAGGGCAAATGTGTTTTGATGGTTATATGTGCACAAATACTAATAGTCTCTAATTTGATACTTTTGCTCATTATGGTGTAATTTCTGCAAGTGATTGAAACCCGGAAAATCTTTACAACCTGAAGTGTATTTCAGTTATTCTCTGGTTATTACAGCATTTATAGCCTATTCTTATTCGCAATGCCCGTCCCTAGATGGACCTTTGAAATACATAAGACTCAACAATAGATACACAAAAAAACAGTACCAAACAAGCACAACAATAAACATACAGAACAGTGCAGGAAACACACTGTCATACAATAAAAGTAAAACAGGAAGATAAGATCCTAAATGACTACAGGACTGAGAACTCTTTCACTTTCAGTTTGAAGTGACTCCAGTCTGGTTGATGGTAGTATAGGTGCTTAACTAACCCTAACCCTAACACATCCATTTCACTTCAAATGGAGCTAACTTGTATTTAATTGCTTCCATGTCAGGTGACAACATATTGTGAACTATCAACAAGGATATTTCATTAAATGTGTGACCTTAATGTAAAATGAAAATCATAAAATAAATTTCTTCAACACTGAAAACTGTGAATCCAGTGATAATTCTGAAAATGAGGTGTGAAATTAAAGTGTGGATGTTGAGGTGGGATTATACAAACGTTCTGAAAAACTAGGTCCAATCCAGATGTGTGAGCTTTTAAAGGCTCCTGCATCAATGTATTCTCTATAGGGCTGAACACATTGTTAATTAAACACAAACATCATGTTTCTATGAATTATATTAAAAAACCCTGAACGCTGATAATGCTTTCTCATAACATGATGGCACTATTCAAGAACGCAAATAGTAACATTATTGGACATAATTGACTGAAAGATTGCAAAAATATGTCCTCGGTTAATCTTGAGAATAAAAAAGGCCAAAGGAATGCCACAGACATGAAGCTGTGATTACAGCCTTGGTGGCAGCAGCTGCATCCTGGCATTTGCTCCAGGAGTCGGCTGGCTGCAGATACATCCTCATTAGAGCGTCTCAGGGACATAAACACATGCAGCAAGTGTTGTCTGAGTGCACTCAGCAGCCCAAAGGTCAGTTTTGTGCACCATCAGTGTCAAAAAGCATCAGGATCAGCGGGTCTGCAGAGCTGTCAGAAGGAGGAGGAGGTGGAGGAGAGTGATACAGGAGGGGGGGGGGGGGGGGGTTAACAGGCTTCTCTTACCTCTGGCCTGTTATCATCAGTACCACCCCTGCAGTCATTTCACACTCAAAAAGTCACACAAAAGTATTGTAAGTTTACACTGTGCTGCTGCTTTCCAGGAGAAAGTTGTTATTAAAGTATCAAAGCTGTAAGAAGCAGTTATAAATAGACCTTTAATAATATACAGTCTCGCATGGCAGAGCTGTGACAGAGCCAGATTCATGTGTCAAGATTTCCAGGACGCTATTAGCCTGGGAGAAAATCTTCAGACATGAGGGTTGCAAACCAAATTTAAATTTAGGGTTGGGGAGTGATGGTCAAGAGCCCTTTAAAACTCTAGTTAACAGTGGATCAATAATGGAAAGGAGGCATATCGCATCTTATTTTACCCTAGAATACTCATCTCTAAAGCAGCAGCAGCAGCAGCAGCAGCACTGGAGCACAAACTAAACAGGGCCCATTAAGCAGAGATGGAGGAATTCATAGTATGAATAAAAATGGAAACTAAAGCAAAGGATGATGAAGGGCATAAGAGAGGACAGAGCCACTGCAGACTGGAATCCTGAGCCAAGTGTAATTTAAAGTTAATGCATGTGGAAAGAGTTTCAAAAATACAGGATAGATCAAACCTATGTTCACTAACACATTGGTCATTTCTAACAGCAATTTGAGATGTGGCAGAGGCAGAGGTTTGATATTGTTTTAAAACTCAAAATGCTCTTAATTTTTTAATTAACAGCTTGATGCTTTTAATGAGCCCATAAGTCCAGAATCATTTTCTATCATATAATATAAATATCATCACTCAAACATCCCATAAACCCATGTAACATAAATGACGAGCAAGCGTCTGTGAAACAGGCTAGCAGCTTGAATTGGACGTAATTAGCCTGAAGTGAATGAACGAATGAGTTTTCCCATTGAGGCGTCCACGTGTAAGAGTTGAATATTGCTGCAGGTAGGAGAGACGACAGGGAAAACACACAGCAATATCTCTGTGAGCGGAAAGTTGTTCAGAGCAAAGGCTAACACAGTGAGTGGGAAATAAGTGAAGACAGACCACCTCGCAGTACAACTGTGGGAATGACTGATGTTATGATGTAGTGTCGTAGACTTGGTGTGTGTGTGTGTGTGTGTGTGTGTGTGTGTGTGTGTGTGTGTGTGTGTGTGTGTGTGTGTGTGTGTGTGTGTGTGTGTGTGTGTGTGTGTGTGTGTGTGTGTGTGTGTGTGTGTGTGTGTGTGTGTGTGTGTGTGTGTGTGTAAAACCTCCACCTGTCTGCTGACTTCTCCACACAATGTAGCAGCTCTGATCTCTCTCTATCACGCCTCTGCAATGCTAAAGCATCCATACAACCGTTTTTAAACACAGAAGAACACAGACAGGAGAGAGAGGCATGACTGTGGGTGACATGAAATGATGCCAAACAACTAGAATCATCTACCTATATTCATGTGCATCATTTCAGAGAGAGCTGTAAATTATCATG